TTTGCTGTGGCCGGCAATTCTTGTTTAGTTATGAGTTGGTTGATCGTATTCTTGACGGAGTTTTGATTGCTGGCAGTGAGGTCTTTGTCGATCTTTTGATAAAAAGAGGTGTCAGAAAGTTGCCGCAAAGCTTCTTTTTGGTAGAGGTCGGTGCGCCAAACAACGACTGAGCCGCCCTTATCGGCCGCTTTGATAACTATGTCTTTGCGTTTTCTAAGACTTTTTAGAGCCGACCACTCTTCAGAAGAGAGATTAGAAAATTTGGTAATACGTTTGAAATTGAGTTTGTTGATATCGTGGCGGCATTTTTTGATAAAAAAGTCTAATGATGCGAATTGGCCCTCTGGGGGAGTCCATTTAGACTTTCGAGTCTGAAGTGTTTCGAAAGTGTCTTTGTTCGAGGTGTTAGAATCATCCTCTTTGTTGTGAAAAAAGGCTTTTAATTGAACGCGGCGAAGGAATTTTTCTACGTCTTGTTTAATTGAGAATTCGTCCGTTGTTTTAGAAATGGGAACGAAATTTAAGCCCTTACTGAGGACGGATTTTTCTGAATCGGAAAGTGAGAGGTTTTCTGGAATGGTAACTACAGTTTTGAGGTTTTCTGGTGATGAGTGGTTAGCGATTTGGGGACCGATAAGTTGGTCAAGTTTTTGGGCCTTAATTTGGTTCAAATGATTGAAAAGTTTCGAATTAGTTTCCTGAATTTTGGCGCGGATAGATTGTAATAAAACTGCTGGACAGATTTTGGAAAGTTCAGAGCGGCAATGTAGGATTTGTTCGGTGAGGTGATTACGTTTTTGGCACATAGCTCTCATGGTAATTCTGATGATGTTACGTGAAAAAGAATTTTGGGCGCACTGAATTTGTTGATGGTATTGTCTGGTGAATGAAGATGCATGAAAATTAGAGCGAAAACCCTTGGGAATAACTTTAGAATGAAGGCAACGACCGATGAAGTTTATGTGGCTACAAAACCTAGTTTTGGCGAAAGTGAGAATGGCTAAACGGAATGCTAGATCTTTACTAAGAGGGGGAAAAGGGAAAAGATAACTTACGATTTCCTGGCGTAGCTCCTTTGTAAGTTTCTTGATAGCTATGAACATTTTACATTTTTCATCATTTTTTTAACCATTGGCCCCTCATTTTAATTCTCAATAAGATCTGTAAGTACATCTTCTGACATATTGGAGCAACTTGTAGCTTCTATAGGTCTTGATTTTTGTTGCACTGGATTTGGTATGTCTGAATATGAAGAGAATACAACATATAACTAATATTTTTCTAAATTTGAAAACTAATATATATTATATATATACATAAATTTAAGAAAAAATTCTAGAAACGAATTCATAAAATCGAAGTATCTGTACATCTTCTGCCTGTCATCCTAGAGAACGGTGATAAGATCTTAAAAAATTAAATATCAAACTCACCTCTCTTCTTGTTTTGAGCTCGCTCAAACCTTTCCAATTTTCTCTTTCCTGGGGAGCCTGAGTGGCTGATATGTGGGAACTTGGATGGAACATAGTCCCGATGGTTCTTATCGTTGGTTTTTTTACCTGCTGGCAAAAGTAAGGACAAACAGTTCAAGCTTTGACCTGTACATGTGCAATAAATAGAAAGTAGACCTACGAACATTGCAATATCTCAAAAGTATTTCATCTTACCGTAGTAAGTTTAATTTTCACTCAAATAACTGATAATCATGATAATCAACTCACCTGATAAAAAATTAGCAGAGCATACGTAGGTGTAGTCCGATTTTGGCTCCCATAGTTTACCTCTTGCTTCTTCTGTTCCACGATTGATAGCCTTTAACCATAGCATTCTTATGGCGTCCCATCGGGGCCAAAATTCAACATTGCGATTTGACATTGTACTTTTAGTATTCTTCCTTATTTTTCCTTATCCTAGACATTTTAAATAATGTTCAAGGCGTACATAACAGTCATGGAAATGTTCAGCTTCTTGTTGATAAAGTAGATTTTTTGCACGGGATGTTGGTAAATCTAGACATCGATGATTTCATAACAGAAACCATATGGGAAGAGCTCATAGTTTACTGGTAGAAATCGAAAGAACTGAGAATTCTTCTGGGGGTTATAGCGCTAGCGTACAACAAGATGGTAGATGTGGACGACCCTCGTACGTAATAAACAAAGAACAGCTCTCATATTTAAATTAACAAGGTTTTAAATTGCAAGAGATTGCTACTATGCTTGGAGTAAGTTGCAGAACAGTTAAGAGAAGAATGATGTCATATGGACTAAGTGTGTCGGGTACATACTATTGTTTAAACTAGGATATTATGAACACAGTCCAGCAAATACGAGATATCGTCCATTTTTCATCTCGCAAGATAACCTCGTACGAAGTTATGAGGCTTACATGAGGTAGTTGACCTTAGTGAGCCTGCGCTCCTTCGTTAATAGCTGGGTTGGATGATGGAAAGTTGAATGTTGAATAGCGCGAAGTACATCCTAGGAGACCCAGGGGCTGTGAGTCGATTTCAAGTTAAGGGCAGAAGAGCCCCTGGGGACATTGTCTTATAAGACTAGTTCCAAACGGTCACTGTCGTTCTGTTATCTGACTGGTGCCAGAAAATCTTTGTGTTTTTCTGCCCAATCAGTGTGAAGTGAGCTTTAGAGTCCTTTCGTGTATATTTAACAATTATTTCACAAGCGCGCGTTGGATATGAGATGATATATAGCCAACTCGGCGCTACGCGCCTCGTTGGCTATAATCATCTCATATCCAACAAGGGCGAGTGGAATTAATTGTTAATTATTAACTAACTAGGNCATCAAAAATATTGCATTGCCACAACTACAAAGTGGAATTACGAGAAGTACAATGTTTAATACTTGAAACTTGGAAGTTTAATTGTAAAAAAGACAATGTTGAATCGGAAAAAGTTTCATAAGGAATAAAAACTTGAATGTCCAATCGCGAAATAAGGAAGAATAGTAAAAGTACAATGTCAAATCGCAATGTTGAATTTTGGCCCCGATGGGACGCCATACCCCCACCATTCTTCGCTCTGGTTCAGTCGCTTGGCTTGGGATCATGTAGAATGAGAGGTCTCCATTTTTTGCTTTATTATTTGTACAATTGAAAACGCAACAGCTTTTAACCATTTTTCAATTTTCAGTGCCAAACTTTGTTATTTCTAGCGAGATAAATTCAGCAAGGCTAGGAGTTTAACAGTCTGCTTAACCAAGGCTTCAAAGCCACGTTCGTTTTCCCCTCAGGGTGCGTTGCTATGCAATTAACATTGTCAAGTACCCGGATGTCCGACTTCGAGAATAGGGTGAACAGAGCCATATTAGGAGCGTTGGCACTTTTTCAGAGGGAATGACTAAGGGCTAACGCTCGAAACGTCAGCTTTTAAACTCTTTTTGGTGGCCAATTTACATAATCAACTCAGTTGATAAAACCAAATTATCTTTTTACACCCCCCCCCCTCCCCCCAACGCAACACCACAGTTTATTAAGAAACCATCCACTTCAATTTTTTTACACGTTGCTAAGACATTTGCGACAAGCGAAAGTTATCACTGATCTTTCAGACTGGCTGGCTTTACAGCTAGTTTGTAGTTATTTTCTCTGTGTGTGTTTAATTCAGTGCTATGCGCCTCGTTGGTTACTTATCGTCTCATGTTTGGCGGGTCCTGGTATAATAATTTTAGTGAATTAAATGGGTTCATAGTAGAGACCTGGCGATCAGTCAGCTGAACCCCGGATTGACAGGTCCAAGTTTAAGATGTGGCCAGGTCATTATGTTGTGTTCTCAGGCAAGACTTGTTAATCTTACGGTACTGCTCTGCCCCCAGATCACAAAAGGGGTAACAGCAAATTGTCAGGGGATCCTGACGAAATTTTGCGGGGAAATCCCTTGCTGCCAGAGCAAGAAAGCAGATTTCTCGGGAGGGTTTAGGTGAGTTACGTCCGAATTAAATCCTTTCGGAATTAGTATTATATGAAATTAGCGCGTGTTTCACTTACATCTCGCTTTGCAATTGAATTAGCTTGTTTTCACCTGACAATAATTTCTGATACGATAATTACCACCAACACGGATCGGCAACAGGTATCAACTCATTTTCATTCCTTATCGTGGGACCCCTTGCTTTCAACTATTTTATTTTTTCGTTGTTGTTGTTGTTTTGTTGTCGTTGTCTTAGCACGATCCATATGTCGAAAGGTATTTGGAGATGTTGGGCGGCAAATGAGGTAGAACCATCCATACTTGAGTCTTCTGATTAATCCTTCCGGCATCCTTGTGGTTTGGCAGTATCGAACAAGTTCTCCCCTGATGTTGATCATCTACGTATTTACTCTCCGTTGGGCAGTAAAAGAAGCCACAGTTTTTTTCTTGCCGCAAACAATACATTAGATTGTGAAATCTTCCGTGTGTGTCCAAAGAAGTGATGTGGTTAAGACGGGGTTACTGTCATTGGTTGGTTTAGATTTGAACTGATTAGCCTCGCTGTCGATCATCAACTTACATCAGAGCTGGTCATCATATAATCTCCCTCGCAGCCTTTTTTTTGGATGTCACGCAACGCTCCCCCAAAAGAACTTTTTGGGGAGCGTTGCGTGACATCCAAAAAAACGGCTGCGGGGGAGACTAGTCATCATTGGGCTCGATTTCCGCCGCTCTCTCGGGTCCGGTCTTTTTCGTTCCTCCCTTCGGGGAGGAGCACGGGCTCCGGTTCCCGAACGGCGGCTGGTATAAATCGAGCCTAGTCATCAACTGTGGTGTGGTTACAGGTTTAGTGGGTCAGACTACCAAGAAAGCTAACGACCAGAAAAAAATTCCATAGGCAAGCTTACTTTCCTTTTTTCTTCATGTTCCCCTACATATCCGGAACGCTCCGACGCCAAATGCGAGGACAATGCAAGGACAACTTAACATTTATTTTAACCAGACGTTTCATTTCTAAACTCAAAAAATGTTTGAATTTTCTACTAAAGGTATCATAGTTAATAAAACGTACCGAACGTCGTTGTTTGAAATCTTTCTGTTATGGAATGTTCTCGTTCAGTCGATTTTGCAAATCTCTTTTGCAAAGCGCTCAACTTGCTCTTTTGTGAAGAACTTGCCAAGAGTGTCTATAATGAGCTGATGGCTTTTTCGCGGCGTACTTGCCAACTCGTTCAGTTCATCTTTATCGATGTGATCAGTAATACCCACAGAGAATAAGTTGACACCTTTCTCTATTAATGAATCAGCACTCTGTCTTGTGAATTCTACTCCTCTAGTGCTGTAGCCATCTGTTACAAACACTGCTACCTTCTTTACACCTGTGGTTAAAGTTAGATACCAAAGGCATGAAGAATGTCAAATTAAAGTAAAAGTGAGGAGTAGTGATAAGAAAAATAGTCTCTGGAAATGTTCAGTGCAGGAGGTTGACGTTTTGTCATTAATTGTTTGTTCCTGTCACACTTGCGCTCTTCAATCAAAAATAGGCAGTCAAAGACTGCATGTGGCTGGTCCAGCACAATTTTTTGTAGCATTGAAAAAAACTTGAGGTTGTATAATGATCCTATAAAAGGTAATGTTACACAATATTTGGCTTGAAAAAAATAGTCAAAGCTTTTAAGCATTAAAAAACGTTTAATTTGCGTACTAGTTTGATCGCTAGGCCTTTAAATTCAAAAGGTCAAAGCACGTTATGCGATACATCTAGCGTTTATGTCTGTTCCTTTTGATGCCAATCAAGGCATGAGCTTTCATGGTCAACTCTGGTTAAACTTTTGCTGAGCCTGCAATATAGCCAGAGGTTATGGAAGTCTGAGGAAGTTCACCGACATCTACGTTTTCCGGAAGTTTTCCCGGAAAATTTGTTACGTGTTACGTGTCACGCACTGTCCCCCATAGGTAGTAAAAGCCAGGCTGGCCTTGTGAACGGAACTACAGGAAAATTTTCCACCCGGCTAATAACGCCGGATCGGTTGTCTTGACGGAGTTGAATTTTGTTGCGATTAAACAATTTTTGTTTATTTGAAAGTAGAATGGTGTCGAGAATAAGGAAAATCATTACCCAAATTCTCAGTGCTACTCAATGTAAGGTCACTGGTTAAAAAAATCATTTATCTTTCATAACCCAGAAGTAATGTGTGCCACTACCTCTAACCACCCTATGAATAACAGTACAACTTACTTTTATCACTTATCCTTGCCCCTTGTTTGCCATCGAAAAGTCCAAACTGCACAAGTCCAAACGCAAGATCGAGTCTACTGGCGGCCCCCTCATAATGGATTCCATCTATCGCCTTTAATATGGCTTCTTGCGAAGCATCATCGTGAAACGTCCTTCCAGTTTTCACGTATTGACTGTATGATGCAACAGCCACGTTAGTCCTGACTTTCGAAATATCAAAGTGTTTTACAAGGTCAGCAGCAAATTTCTTTGCGATTTTAAACTGATCTGCTGTAACGCTTCCTGACCCATCCAAGAGAATAACCATGTCTACCTTGTTATGGCACTTGAACTGATCAGCTGCTGAAATTTGGCAACGAGATTGCGTTAATCTTAATGTAACAGACTAGGCTGTTACATGCGTTGTGCTTTCATATCGATGCGCACAGTCAGACATTTGCACGAAGTTGCTGATGCTTTATAAAACTGCAGGTTATATCTTGTGATAATTAGAAAGCACTATATTCTCAGGCTCCCGTCAACAGGTCGTTTGGGAAAAGTGCGATGTTCTATAGATCTATATAATGTGACATGTATCCCACAAACCAACACTAGTGTATGTAGTCGGTCATAACATTACCAATAAGAGTTTTCACTTGCAAATCGTTGCTCTCCTGCCATTACCTGAAGCTATAGTGAATAAGATAACCATAGCAAAACTGTTGGTTAAAATAGTCATTCTTCTTAAAGATACCCTCATTCTCCCGCGGGATTCCCTAAAGAAATGTGAAAGGAAGTAGTATATTAAAAAGACATCGTGAAACTTTGACGAGAGCATCTTGAAATGAAGGCGTTTTTGAAGGTCAGGCAACCGTTGTAACCACCTTGTCATATGTAATGTTGTGTTCACCGTATTGTGGCAACTTCCCGTAGTAGATAATGGTAACGAGGATAACTGAGCTAGTCGTGACGGGATAGCGCTAGACCAAGTAATGTAGTCATCAATTACAGCTAAGTTTTGGGGATTAAAAGATTGCGAACTTATCTTTGAAGACGATATGTAAGCTTTTATGGAGGATATGTCGGTTATCTTTTCTTGGAGACACGGCATGCACACACATTCTGAAACCGGACTCGATTGTTTGAGCCATATCCTACGTTTCATGTTCCATCTTTTATATTCTAATCGCAGGCCTTCCTGCAGCCGAGCTGGTCCCCAATGTTTTTTTGAAGCGCTTTTTCACGCGAAGAACTGTTTATATATATATCACAAGACAATATTCACATTTTATAATTTGTCAAAGCGAAAATGTTCTTATTGTGCAGATAGGTACCTAGTGAAACATTTCTTCTAAAATGCTGACTCATAAAAAATATACTCCAAACACAGCAAGCCATATCTTATTACAAAACAAGTTCCTGAAAAAATCTTTCGATCCGTGAAGCAAAGACACTTTTTTAAAAGGAGAGAGTGGGGGTTAACAACTTGTTGAACAACTCGAAACCTCGATCAATCTATGACAGCCTCCTATGGATGAAAGGAGCATGCAACTTTAGTTTGTTATTATGTCAAACCTTTTCTTGTTGACTTAGGTACAGTATGCTCTCTTTTTCCAAAACGTGTGGTTGAATGCTTTAATTGCTCTACTGAGGAGCGCTAAACATCTACAAGCAATACATGTACCCGTGAGAACCTTCAACCAATTGGCTTGAAGGATAAAGGGTGTCACATTTCTGACTATATCACCTGTGACATATTCACACTCGAACACCCTCTCTTTTACCCAATGTTTTTTATTTATTAATTATGCTATATGTCCACTGAATCACTCTAACGTCTCCCAAGAATTATCAAGCCGGTCTAAACATCATTCCACAGTATTCGTTCGCAGTATTCCAGGTCTTGGGGACCTCGTCCACAAAGATCCTAGTATGGGGGGCATAATCAGAAATCAAGTTCTTTTTTCTCCTGACAATGTTTAAATTGACCAGTCCATTTATTATAAACTATGGCCGTTCGTGAATTATGATTCAAACTAACTATAGCTAAAAAATAACCTACATAACAAATTTTACCTTGCGTTGATGAAAGATACTCACAGTTTTTGTATAATACTGTTACTTTATCAAACTGTTTAATAGCGTCTAATTGGATCGCTGAGTAGTTAGGATTCGCAGCCGAAATCTGTCGTGCGCTGTACTTTTCGCGAAACGTATCTTTCTCACAACTATGAAACCACAAGCCAAGCTTCATGAGTGAAACCTTATGTTCTCGTAGTCTAATATGATTATACAACGATTTTGTGGTTTGATATCAAACACTAAGTCTGCGTGACGAATTTCTTTTGAAAATTGGATTAACTGCTTTGCTTTCTTTTGAAAGGACTTTACTGACGAGGGCGGGTCAAGAAGCTCTGTTACGAAAGACAGTTCTAGCTTTTCCAATGAAGCAACAATGTTTCTATTTCCTTATGTTAATCTTTAGACCACAGTGTCAGCTGATTGTTATGAAAACTTAGTGCTCCCATATAGTGTGTGTGGAATTTTCCAACCCCATTTATTCAGGTGCTAAAGTGGTTGAGGTACGGAGCCTTTAAAGGAGCATACACGTTTAAAAGTTAAATTTACACTCGTCATAGATTAGGTTTCCGGGAAGGTCTGTTCATTAAGAGCTTGCGAAAGTTTATGGGGATCTTGCACCATCGTTTTGCACAGTTACCAGATGGATGCAGCATTTAATAATAATAATAATAATAATAATAATAATAATAATAATAATAAAAGATTTATACCGCGCCAGTATCCTACTGTTCAAAGGCGCCTACAGAAAACTTTAACACTAAAAAAAAACTTTAACATTTTGCTGCTGGCAGCGAAGGCGTTGAAGATGAACACGTCCAGAGGTCCTGAAAACAGGTTTCCGTTCAAGAAAGAGGATGTTCACCGCTTTGTTCAATTCTCAGGGGCCTGTTGTTGTTGATATAATGCCTGACAAAGCTACCATCATTGCCACCTATGAAACTACTCCAGTTTTGCCAATAGTTCCTCTGCAAATGCAGTCAAGAGCGCGGATTAAAAGTGGGTCCCTATTCCAGTTGCATCATCACAATGCAGCCCCCCCCCGCCCCCCTCCACACATAGCTCGCCTTACACAGAAGTAATTTGTATATATCAGTCTTTTTTTTTTACAAAATTCATGCTAAGAAGCCTTGATAACAAGATAAGACGAGTGTGTTGTAAGTAGGCAAACCAATCTTGTAAAGAGATAATTTGGATATATCAACAAAGTTGAAATGGTAAATTGGCCACCGTTACGATTATAAAAGCTGACGTTTCGAGCGTTAGCCCTTCGTCGGAGCGAATTGAGGAATTGTGGGTTGTGTGTGCTTTTAAAGGCAGAAAATGGAGCTACGTCACTGGTGGGACATGGCAACGAGAAAAACACAAATAAATTAGTGGAATGAAAAGCGTTCGTTGATACCTGTGGGATTTAGACTGCACAGAAGTACCTTGGTGAAACATCTGCCCTATTCACCCGACTTAACTCTCTGCGATATCTGGCTCTTTCCAAGATAAATCCACCATTGCTGAAAAGCCATTTTCAAGGGTGCCAGACCTTGCCAAGGATGTCCATTCAGGGATAAAAACCACACCTACTTCCACAGTGCACACCTGCTTCCACAAGAAGTGAAGGATGAAGATGCAACAATGTATAAAATCGAAGGAAGTTACTTCGAGGGGACGTTTAGGTGCATCAGTGCATCAAGTGAAGGATGAAGATGCAACAATGTATAAAATCGAAGGAAGTTACTTCGAGGGGACGTTTAGGTGCATCAGTGCATCAAGTGAAGGATGAAGATGCAACAATGTATAAAATCGAAGGAAGTTACTTGGAGGGGACGTGTAGGTGCATCATTGGAAATGTGGGCGAAGTGACAGAAATTTTTGTTCCGCCCTCGTATTTACTGCCACCCATAACCTTTCGTTGACATTGTCTTCCATGCACTCGGATGGTAAGTCTGCTTTGTGCTACGCTTTTTTTCGTACCTCGAAGTCGACTCGGAATCTGGGAAAAGGTGAATGAGTTCACGTCCAAGTTCACTACTATTGAAGGAAACGGACACTCCAGGGAGTCATTTGTAAATGTCATTTACAGTATTTATTTACCTTCATATTCTCCATTCACACTGAATCGTCTCCATCCACCCTTCTCTTCATCCACCTTCACACATTTTTTTTTTTGCTCTCTATCCTTATGATATATCATCAACCTTCATTCCCTTAAATCACTCTCACGAACCTTCATCTACCTCCATCCCCCCATACACCTCCATTCAACCCCATCAACTTCCTTACTTTTAATCAGCTTCCTCATCCTTCCTCATGCACCTTAACTTCAGCAGCCTTCATGGACATTAAGAAAATCTTCTACAGCATTAAAATAGAACAACAGTTACCAATTTCATTTGAAAACAATTAGCCAATTCGGAAACCTTAAATATCCCAACTTAGTCACGTAGTGCCAGGCAAACCTTTGGACCAAAGCAACCAAAGATGACTAAGAATTTATCACTGGTCATCTCCTGAAATCAGATTAACCAGTTTTGTGAACTTTGCCTTAGTGACAGAGGCAACACTGTAGAACTGTCTATCGAGTGCGAATGTCGAACTTTTATACTCCGAAAAAAACAGTAGGTAGCACTGGGAAACATCGGGTCAAAATTAGGTGAGTATCGAAATTCTACTGTTACACTCACTCACTCATCTTGACAACATATGTGGCTTCGCCTCCTTTAGGAGGCTGTAGCCACAAAAAGAAACAAATATTGTAAAGAAATGTTTTAAGTTGCTTTACTCAATCATTGTTTACAGTTTTCTACATGAAATATATATCTTAGTTATCAAACACTTTGTTCGGTTTTTAAGTGGCCCCGCACATGCTTAGTAAGGTAACAAGATTGTCGAAAACATTTCTGACAGTGTGGACATTGAAAAGGTCTTTCTCCAGTATGCGTCCGTACATGAATTTTGAGATGACTGGACTGACAAAACTTCTTTGGGCAGTTTGGACACTGGAAGGGTTTTTCACCTGTATGGGTTCTCATGTGAGTACTCAGAGCTGACGAATGAGAAAATCCTTTGCTACAGAAGCGACATTGAAATGGTTTCTCACCGTTGTGAATGCGCAGGTGCAACGTCAGGTGGCTCGACTGTCCAAATGTCTTTGGACACTTAGGACATTGATATGGCTTCTCTCCCGTGTGCACGCGCATGTGTGTGGTCAAGTGACTTGACTGACTGAAGCATTTGGGGCACTGTGGGCACGAGAACGGCTTTTCCCCTGTGTGAGTTCTCAGGTGAGTGCTCAGGGATGTGGACGAAGAATATTCCTTAGAACACACTGGACATTTCAGTGGATCAATTCCGGGATGGCTACGAAGGTGTGTGGTAAATTTATTTGGACAGGAAAACTCTTCACTGCACTGCGGACACTGAAGTATCTCCTGTGGGACAACACTTTCACTTGACCCAATTCTAGTCACCTGTCCAGTGCCTGAGTGCCTACCTGGAGCAAAGAAAAATTAGTCATAAACCTATGTATGTGCTCAAATTTTCATTTTCCTTATCATTCCTTAGGACAAAAAGTTCCATTAAGCTATTTTTTAGCAAGGTAAACAATAGAGCATGGTTAGCCAAAGGCTGTACACAATTACAGACTGACACCGCACTGAACACAACTTTCAGTGGATGGGTTTTAGGGGTGAGATGATGAATCTTGAAAAAATTCCTAAACCACAAACAACCCAAAAGAAAATCACTTTTATACCTTGGCAATGCTACATGTATAATTGTGTTCTTTTCCAGGCAGTTACTCAAAAGCAGTTGATTTAGAGATCTTTGTTTGGATTGAGGGGCCCTATTTTCTGGACATATCATGTTGATGCTATTGGTTCATATGCTGAGAAATTGGTAAAATAAGCACAATGTACACATCCCAAGTATTATTCGATGAGTGTTATCAAGTCAAACTCAAATTAAACATATCAGCCAATCACAACGAAAAAGAACTCACTGAGCATTAAAAGTAAGCATGTCAAGTTGCCTTCAAGCACTGGAAAACAAGAAACACCTAGTCACAATTGACTTTAGTTTTTCGAGTTTCTAGAGCCTAGCAAGGTCAAGTAAGGGGAAACCAGTGCATTCCCATATTACTTGAAATGCTCAGTTGAATATTGCTCTACAATACACTGAACATACGGCTAACAATGTGGGTGCTCAATTACCTGTATTGAGAGTAACTTACAAAACAACACTGAAGCTGATGTAGTATGAAATCCATTAATTAAGAAAATCAACTTATTCCACTAATCTGCTGCAATTTCTAATAACATACTTGCAATTAGGTTTGAGGCATTTTGTGACAACATACACACATTGTTGCAACATTTTAAAATAAAGGTGAACAACACATTTCATTCTAAGGGCTGCAGTATTTGTAATAATTGTTGGTCTATGCAATTTATAACAACATCTTGAAGCAAAGTATAATAATCTGAAACATGACTTTGCCACAAAAATATAAAATACTGCAAAACTAATGCAAAAAATTATAGTCAAACATTGTACTTTCTTCTCCTGAGATATCTCTGACACATCTGTTAAAATTTTTGTGAGGAGTTATATGTCTTGTAGTAACTGTTTGAGTTATTTGAATGTCCCTTTGTTCTTTAGAACACCAAAACGGATGCTTGACAAATCATTATTCAGAAAGGGGAAACCACAATACCCAATGTGTGGGATAACATTGTTTTGAAAGAGAAACACAGTACAATTTGCTGCAAGATGATATTACTAAATGTGATAACTGATGATTCTTACAAAATTCCACATCCTTTACTACGAAATGCTGCAATACCTATTACAAAATGTGTAAGTCACTACAAAATGAGTATGAGAGCAATCTTCACGTAACGAATACTACATAAGCAGTAGTGAAAATGAGGCCTGAAAAAAAATTCAGTCCTGTACAGGATTGGAACCTGTGACCTCTGCCATACAGGTGCAGTGCTCTACCAACTGAGCTAGCAAGCCAACTGGGAGCTAGTTATTACGTTGGTTCATAATAAACCTGTGAAATGATGAGTCAAGGTTTGGGAATATGTGAAAGTCATATATTTGAAGTGCGGTTCAAGAATGAGTATGAGAGTGATCTTCACATTAACAAACACTTCTAATAAGCAGTAATGAAAATGAGGCCTGAAAGAAAAATTATCACAACTGCTTAAGTAGTGTTCATTACTGCAAAGATTGCTCTCATACTTGTTCTTTAACCGCAGTTCAAATATATGACTTTCATATATTCACAAACGTTACTACAAAATATTCCAACTATTATTATGAAATGCATACGGTATTACAAAATGGGTCGTTATTGCAAAATACTGCAGAACATCCACTGTTGTAAGCTTTGACAGACAGATATACTTACTTGACGTTTGTAAAACTGTGACAGCACCACTCTCAATGCAATGGATACGAGCAGTTTTCTAACACAAATAGAAACAGTTCATCATTCTGAGTCAGGTTATAATCAACTTATATTATTGTTAATTATCAAAACTGCGGTCACTATTCTTATTATTATTTGCATTATCATTATCTGTAGATGTAATACAACTACATGCTGTCCAATTTGGAAATAATTGGATGTAAAAAGTCCTGGGGACAGCCAAAATGGCCAAGTTCATTTGGCTGTCAGAGCAATTTTTTTAACCCAATTACTCCCAAAATTGGTCAAGCATATAGTCCTCCAACTATTAATTATATAGCTAGTCAGTTTTAATTGGGCATTGCTCAGTCAAGCCATTATTCTATAATTTTTTAAAACTGTCCAATTTGGGGTTAATTTGGATTGTTTCGAACAGTTTTAAAAATTAAAGAATAATTATAGCTATGCTAACAAATTTGGATTAACTACCAGCTTTACAATCATTACCATTATTATTATTATCACCAGAAATGAAACTACAAATCATGGTCAAACCCTTTGTTTCTATGAGTGTTTTAACAACTTGAGCCTGGACTTAGTTATCTTATTTCAAAACCGATGCAATCACTGAGTTAACACATTCACATTTGCATGAACTGAGTCCTTAAAAAAATTATTGATATTCTCACATAACAGGAAAGGCACAAACATTGTCAGCATTTTTCTTTACTGAAATCTATCCACTTACCCTGGTCCCAGAGGTTCTCTTCTCTCTCCCGGAGTACGATAATTTGGCGCAAAGCGCTGACCAACGAGCTGCAAAGCAGCGAGCGGAAAGAGAGAACCTCTGGTCAGGACCATTGAGAATCTCACTTTCATGCCACCAAGCTTTGGGTGACAGCTATCAATCAGGCCCCTTTCCAACAACCAATCAGAGTAAAGTACTAAAATACCTCTGTGGGTAGGTGTAGTATTTTTACTTGTACCTGGAGTGGGGGTGGGGAATATATTTTGTTTCGTGGCCATATAACTTCGCGAGTCTTGTTGATCACTGTTTACAGTTGGTTATATTTATGGAGTCTTTTTCAAATGTACTAGTTCAAAATGTAATCTCTGGTTGTTTGGAGAAACGTTTTCCCGATATTTCTAAACTATCTGATAAACAGATAAAATGTTTTCGTCGCTGGTGAACTCGGTGTTCTTGCGGTTCTCGGTGAATTACAAGGAGAATCTTTCGCACATCTCTTGCGTCGCGTCAATTCTCCAACATCTATGTTTACTTCTTTGTATTTATTCCTGAACTCTTGTAATTCTTTGGATTGACTAAGTAGCTTTTAATGCCTTAGGAGAGCCCTGTAGCACTTTTTACATGGCACTTGTGAGATCTTGGAATTGTTTTCAACTTTGGCGTTCATAACAAGCCTAAAGCAGCACAGAAAATCTCCATTCTTCTCAGGGAAAATATTCAATTGAGAGTAGCCATTTATCTTGACGTTTTCGCTCCAAAATCGGCAATAATCGTTTGCCCGAGGGAAGTAGATTTTAATCGGGGTTTTTGTTGGAGTTCGTACTACATGCAAGCTTGTCATTTTGCACGTGTAGCAAATATTTTGACAGATATTGTAAATACGACCACGAAACAAAATATATTCCCCACCCCCACTCCAGATACATGTAAAAACACTTCACCAACCCCCAGAGGTATTTTAGTACTTTACTCTGATTGGTTGTCAGAAAGGGGCGTGATTGATAGCTGTCACCCGAAGCTTGGTGGCATGAAAGTGAGATTCTCAACGGTCCTGACCAGAGGTTCTCTCTTTCCGCTCGCTGCTTTGCAGCTCGTTGGTCAGCACTTTGCGCCGAATTATCGTACTTCAGGAGAGAGAAGAGAACCTCTGGGACCAGGGTACTATCCACTGGGACAAGTGCTTACTGCTGCTCAAGCAAAACTGACCGTGATAATTACTGTTACATCCTTTCAAAAATACAAGATCTCTACCTTAAATCCACCAAATTCATGTAGCATTTATATCCACTAGAGTCATGTATAGAATGTTCTTAATCAGCTTTATCCAAAATTGTCCAATTTGCAGAAACCCTCTGTTGCAACTTTCAGAACCCACTAAAATGTGACCTGAAAATGTCTTCTGTCAAGCCAGCTTATGTGGCATTGCAATTAATTTTTTTTAAGTAAAACTCTCCTCATTTTGTATCATTAGGTCTTGATGCTCACTTACGTTATAGAGAAATTGAAAAAGTTTCTTTCATTTACAGTTGGCTGCCAAAGTATGTGGCTTTTTCACAGTGCTACTTACACATTCTGCCAAGACATCCACTGTCATTTGACGTTCCCGATTTTTTACAAACTGTACATCATTTTCAGGCTCCTGGCTACCTTCTCTTTCATCTTTTCTTTTTGGGCTGTTTTCTGCACAATTGCTTGGTGTAAGATATCTCTCTTGAGTCCACGACTCAGAGACAGTTGTTTCAGAGCCATAAGCAGATGTAGAAGCAATCACCTCATCACCATCACACTTGGGTGAGGAGCAACAGGCTTTAGTAGATGCCTGCTTAGAGTTTATTTCTGTGTTGCAAATACTGCTTTGACTGTCTTCCTAATCAAAACAATTAAATCAGAGGAATGTGTTAGCAACAGATCAATAGCTGCTGATTGCAGCAAAAAAGATCATGAGTAAAAAAGCAAAAACACTGAGAAACTTAGGTTGTATGGACACTCAGGTTGCTCCATACTTGTGGAGCTATCCTCAACTCAAAAAATACTATTGGAAGCAATTTCCATAGTGACTATTGATTCATGAGACATTGTTCCTCCTAAAGATTACAATATTTTTTATCACTTAAGAATTGTACTAAGTTCCCTGAATTGACATCGAAGAGGTGGAATCATCCTTATTTGCAAAGTGATTTGTCTACATGGAAATATTTCTTATTCTTGAATTTCATAATTCCCATGACTTACACCCAGAAAAGAGAATTTGAGGTTTAAATACACCAAATATCATTGTAATGATCCCATTGAGCATTCAGAAACTGATTAGTTACAAACACTCCTTAATTCATGAGAGTAAAGGACCATGTGTAAATGATGCACAATCAAGTGTTTCACATCACTGCTTTCCAAAGGATCGTGTCTGTGCAACTGGTTCCGCAATTCATGCACGGAAACAAACCAGTTAAAGGCAAACCAGTAATTTAAGCTACGTGTACCACTTTTTTTATATCTGCAACTCTCATTTGCTGGAAACTTTCAGAGATCTGGTTATACTCCATAGATATTGTTAGGCTATTGTTAGATATTGTTAGGATTCTGCTACGTGATAGTTGCCAGAATTGTTTCTTAAGGTACACATACCATAAACCTTAGGAATGGGGGGGGGGAGGGCTTCAAGACCCTCATCCAGACCTTTTAACACATCAAAGGCTTACTAATGTCACTTATTAAAATCTACTATTAACAAGAATTAATTCATGCATTATGTACCTTGTTAAGTTGATTTTGCCATTTACATTCCCCAGTGGCTGGATTTATATAATACAGAATCTTTCCTGACTTTGTTGTATGGGGTATCCATTCTGTGCTATCCATTTTCTATACCTGATGTACTGTAATATTTTAATTCCTCTCAGCAAAACAAATTTCCACAACAGTAACAAACTGAAAGTCATAAAAGTCAATAAAGAAGGAATAACTGAAAAGCTCATAACTGTAAAATACATAAAGCAAAAACCTTTATAACTGGAGAGCAAGACTGCTATATACCTCTCTTTGTTAACCAATCAGAATGCAAGATTTCATTCAATTATCAATTCTAACTTACAGATATTTCATAAGATTCTGCTACGAATTAGTTCAAAATCAAAAACTTCAAATCTTGAATGACCAACAATTTCCTTTAGAGCCATCTTTTCATCTTGAAAAAATCAATTAGATTATTTGAAGCTATCTTTGTGCGTGTTGTTGTAGGTTGGCCACAATATGAATCTTTAGCCAAAGTTTTAAGCAACATGGTGTTTTCTATTGGTACAACAACCAAAATAAATCTGAAAACTAATGTTAATTTTAAAAGGGTCTTTAGTTTTGAAAATTCAATTTGACATGAAGATGGTGTGCTTGTTGGATGCTAGAGAACTGCTCATTAGGGACAATGGAAATAATAAATTATTATATCTGTTACTCCTTCCTAAGACAAAAAATCAAGTTATGTTTTAACTGTTTAGTTGTTACTACTAGGGATGTACTAACAACTTTGAAATAAATGTGTGTAAAAAGCAACCGGCATCACTGCGAGGATCATAGAACTATTACAGCAATTTTCCCAACACTATACTTTGAGATACTCAAATTTGCTGCTTCTGAATGCTCTAACCGAAAAAAAAAAAAAAAGAAGAAAAAAACGAAGAGGCCGGTGTCGTTACCAAACTATTCTTGATATCTGATCCAAAGTTTGATAGTAAATAAAGTTACTTTCAGATGGTCGTCATCAAATCAAGATCCCCAAGAGCTTTCTCAAGGTCTCTGTCGAAAAAACCCATAGCCCTGTTGTTTTAATAACCCAGTGAAAGAATCCGATGAAAACAAAAATGAAAGAGTGAATGGCTTCATGTCGCATCCCGTCGACTTTCAATTCTATGAGTATCAGTTTAAAAACATCCTTATTTTCTACGAATATCGAACTGTCTGTAAATTACTGTGACAAGAAATGCGATGAAGTAAAGAGCAATTTCTTTCCAAAGAAGCCATAATATTGGGTATACGCAGGCCAGAAAATTTAAAGCTGAAAGAGAAATTTAAGAACACTGCGCGTCTAAAGTTCCTTTAAACGAGAAGAGCGTAAAATAATGTGAACAACTCAAGAAAAACGGCATGAATTGAATTCAACCTATTCTGAAAACCAAGGCCAACTTACAAATCACCGAGTAAAAATAGATTTGAGCTTAATATCACGGTCATTATGCCATTTAACTAACAAACTGCGAGACGCAGCTGCCGATTCTTTGGAGAAACGAGTGTGTTTACCGCGTCGACTCGGACTTGATAAAAAGATCCAGACGTTCCCGATGTTTCAAAGGTGTTGTCTTGACAGAAAAACAGAAATGAAATGGTGAAGACCTCTCACATCTCAATACACAACTGTTCCATTATTTAGCAGAAAAATATTACTTGCAAGAAAATTATCCTGCCTTTCATGAGCCCGCGTTCGTTCTAGATAAAATTGTATAATACTTTATGTAGGTGACTGTATCGTATTACTTATATCTTGACCAGTACCATATAATTTAGTAGTCCGTTAGAGGTATGGCGCGCCTTTCCAGTCAATATTCAAACAACCTTAATATACAATACATCCATTACATTTCTTTGCCATATTTTTGTTTCCTTTCTGCGTATTTTTTATTTTGCTTCTTTATTTTTCGTTTTCCTTCTATATATTTTTAAATCTCTTCGTATCAATTTACATAGGCGTGTTTAGCTCATCTATTTTCTATTTTTTCTCCTCATTTTATATGCGTTCTATATTTTTTTATATTTATTCCATGCGTCTTTTTCGTTCCGAGAGGGATTTTTCATTTTTATTCTAATTAGTATGCAAACGTCATCACATGACCGAGATGCTACGGTGGCCCAGAAAGCTCAACGCAAACAAAAAATATACTGCAGCAAATAAAAATTATACTGCAGCAAATAAAAATATACTGCAGCAAATAAAAAAATCAGAACGCAAAGAAAAAAAGTACCGCAGCAAATAAAAAAATGCAAAGCAAACAAAAAATACTGCAGCAAATAAAATATGCAACGCAAACAAAAAAAAAAAAAAAAAAAAAGAAAACGCAAACAAAAAAAATTGGAACGCAACGCCAAGGAAGACTGGGTAATAGTTCTTAGTTTCCCGCCAAAACAGCATGAACTGGAACTCGCTTTTGGCTATGGACGAAAGCGATCTGCGTAGGATTATAGAAGATTACTTTCATCAAGGGTATGAAAATAGAGTTATTATCGATTTTTTAAAGGAGCAGCATGGTACTGTCATAAGTTCGCTGCAAAACATGGTTTCGGAAAGGTGAACAAGCAAAGGATGGAACGAGTGTTGGCGGGAAACTAAGAACTATTACCCAGTCTTCCTTGGCGTTGCGTTCCAATTTTTTTTGTTTGCGTTTTCTTTTTTTTTTTTTTGTTTGCGTTTCCTTTTTTTTTTGTTTGTTTGCGTTGCATATTTTATTTGCTGTAGTATTTTTTGTTTGCGTTGCATTTTTTATTCACTGCGGTACTTTTTTTCTTTGCGTTTTGATTTTTTTATTTGCTGCAGTATATTTTTTAGTTGCTGCAGTATATTTTTATTTGCTGCAGTATATCTTTTATTTGCTGCAGTATATTTTTCATTTGCTGCAGTATTTTTTTTGTTTGCGTTGAGCCTTCTGGGCCACCGTAAGATACACTTTTCCGCCAATTTCAAAAGTAAAATGGCGGATGAAACTTTAAGAGATTTCAACTTAACGAGAGAGGCCTTTACATAAAAGGGCGCCAACCCAGTCAATATTCCCTCTGTATTTCTGTGACCCAGGTTACTTTTAACATGGTCCATTCGACTTTTTATATGGCCAACTCGACTTTTTATATGATCAACTTGACTTTTCACATGCTAAACTTTAGACTTTTTGTATGACCTAAAATCCGTTGTTAGTGAGTGACAATAGGGCCCAGAATTAAGATCAATTAACGTCTATCAAACAGGTACCACTATGACAGATTGAAAACGCAAACAGTGTGAAGTTTATTATTTGCCTTTGGTCCGATAAACCAAACAGGCAATCCAACTAGCTTACGCAAATCGTGTAATTTATTCCAGTATATTATTATTCGATCTAGAGAAAAGAAATTAAATACATTTGAGAAACTGAACCGGATCTATCGATACATAAACACACGAGTCAAACTATTAGCTAGAATTGCAACACGGATAACTTACTTCTGTGGCGATGTTAAGTAGGATTGTTTCACGGTATACAAGTCAGCAACAGATATAACAGATCAGGGTATAACAGAATACGGGTCAGCGCGACAGGTCAGCAAAACATGAAGGTCACTTCGAATCTAAACATCTGAACTGAAAGCAGACTTATTCACGTGGCTTCATTGCGAAACTTAGTGTCAGTCAAAGTCAATCAGGAAATCAAGTTAATAATTCATTGTATTAACGAAACAGCCTTTAAATTGTATCGATCAGAATAGTACAACAAATGCAACTTAACCTTTACAACAGTAAGGAAAAAAATACATAGGAATCTCAAAAAAGTAGTTCTAAACAGCTGCGCTAACTTGAAAACGTAACCTTTGAACAGATAACAAGCTTGATACTACAAACAGCCATTAGCTAAGGATTTTCCAGCATGATTTACCAGAAAATTATTTGTCCACAGTTGGTCAATGTTTTAAAACCGTACGTACCTAACCAAGGCAGAAAACACAATTTCACTACAAAAATTATATTATCAGTCTGTTTTAAATCAGCTTGTATCTGCCATCACGATGGTCTTCCTTTAGTCACAAGGCATATTACACAATATCCATTTCCCAATAATCTGATGCAAGTATTGCACTGAACTCCTCTCTAAGTTCAGGAAATGACTGATAAGTCGAGGATAGCTCCAAGACAGTATTACAAGTGTGGGCAATTGGTCGGCGACCCAAACCAGATAAGTTGGTAAAATTTACTTGGATTGCATCAAAAAGCATTAACTCAGACCCACTGATAAACCTTACAGACTTTGATAATTTCTGAGGCGTGTCAAGGCCCTCAATATACCGTTTGAGAAACTTAAGGCTATCCCTTTTCCCCATCACTCTCAGGGTTTGCCTCTAGACAACTAAGGATTTTGCTTGTGGATCGTATTAACAATTCATACCTTTTGGAAATTGCTACAAAATCAGGAAAATTAGGAAGAAGTGTTGAAACTACTAGTATCCTTCCAGCAGTCTGCAATATACTGTGGCTTCTGCAGCAGCTCCTTATGGGCTATTTCTTCAATAACTTGACTAACATTCTCGGAATTTACCATAATTCGACAGTCATAGTTATTAAAGACTTCGAAAAGCTGGGAAATTTCATCTTCATCATCCCACTTCATATCACCAGCGAGGCACTTGTCAATCAAACATTTTTCATCTACTGCAATGTAATTTCTAATGGATTGAGTCAGCATAGCACTAGTTACTGCAGATCCCCTCAAAAAAGACAGGCAAGGAACGTTTGAGACAGAAGGACTGGTAGGTATTGACAGGTTAAATATCCTTTCACCAAAATTCTGCCAACAGCAACCCATTCATCCCTTTGATAGTCATGTCTTACAAATGGTACGCGCTCATTTTCTCCAACAAAAAGGGAATCATATGTTTCTTTCCAAAAAAGAGAGAAAACATCTCTAAGCAACCCAACACCTCTGCCCACTTCTTCAACTCCCCTAGCATCAATAACAATTATCTCTATGTCCTGACTCATTATTAATGGATCTCGGAATAAGTCAATCAAATCCTTCTTAATATTTAGCCTGTGCACTTGGATGATACGTTTTGGTGGCAGTTGAGGTACAGGTACTGATACAGACACAGGTACATGCTCAAATACATAAACAATATCAGAGTTACTGCCTCTCTCTATATCATTTAACTCTGTATTTTTACGTGATGTTTCTGCTTCAGTTGGAAATGGTACACAA